GGTGCTGGAGGGGAGAATACGGTTTCAATACAATTGTACGACGGTTTCTCTACCTCAAACGCTTAACATAATTATTTCTAGCGGGGTCTCGTTACAGTGGCTGTTGAGTGGTGGAGATCTCACTGACAGATTTCCAACATTTGCGCATATGAAGAATGCAAGCCAACGAAAGTTGGAAAGTGCAATACGATATCCTTGAGCTTTAGGCATATGTATTTATATTTGAGTGCTTTGCATTTTTTATTTTGTGTGTGCGTGCATATGTGTGTGTTTGTATTTGTGTGTGTGTTTATGTGTTTGTGTATGCTGTGAATGTGTGTTATGTGTGTGCGTGTGTGTATTTGTGTGTGGTGTATGTGTGCACGTATGTGCTTTTGTATTTGTGTGTGTGTTTGTGTATGCTGTGAATATGTGTGTGTGTGTGTGTGTGTGTGTGTGTCTGTATGTGTTGTTTTAAGAGGTAGGGGAGGAGAGGAGGGTAACGAACTTAGTACATGTATAAGATTAAGAGTAAAAGTATAGCCTCTCTAGCACGGCATGATAACATATAGAAATAATATTATTTCCTCATTTCGACATTTTTTTCTCTTCTGTTTTCAACCAGTTGCCTCAACCCTCCCTTCCTCCCTCCTCCACCCGCCCCCCTTTTCTCATCCTCCAAACCTCCGTTCCAAAATCACTCCTTCTGTTCTTAATATCAATAATAAATCTTTTTACATCAAGCCAATCTCTCGTTAATCTCCCCCTCCCAGCTATCTCCCTCCCTCTCTTTCTCTCTCTTCCCCTCTCCATCACCCCTCTCTCTCCACCTTTTGTCTCTCTCTACACTCTACACCATCTCCCCCCTCTCTCTCTCTTCACCCTCTCCCTCACTCTCACTACCCCCCCTTCTCCCCCACCCCCTCTCTCTTCCTCCCATCCCTCCATTCTTCTTCTTTCTGTCGCTCTCTCTCTCCCTTCCTCCCCTTCCTCCCCCTCTCTCTCTCCCTTCTCTCCCCCTTCCCTCCGTCTCCCCCGCTCTCTCTCACCGAACCATGTTGCTACTCTCTACAACACAACACTCATCTTTCTTCTCGAGCTCCCTTTCCCCTTTTAGCCCTCGCTCATCGTATCACCAGCCTTCACCTTCGCTTTCGGCCTCACCAGCCGCCTCGTCCTCGTTCAAAACAACATGCGTCAGCGATATATGGGATGGAGAGGAGCCAGGCCAACCTATTTCTTGAGGTCACAGCTTGCTGGGAGAGCCGGTGAAAACACTTGAAACAGGCCACACTCAGATTTGCATGATCTAGGTCACATAACGCACACACTTTACCACCCCCCCTACACACACACATAACGTACACACTTTACCCCCCCCCCCCACACACACACACCTCTTCCTTTCCCTCTGAGACCTTTACACACACTTATACAGGGTCTTGGACTATTTATCAGTCAATTTATCGGTCATGACATGCAGTTCACTTATTTATAATACCTCTTATATATCTGTCCAATGATCATGGTGTTAAATGTCTCTGGGTCTCCCTGCATTGTGTTAAAGTGCAGTCAAAATTATGTAAGTCGGCCACCCACTGTAGAGGAGAAAAGTGGTTGTCTTAGACAGGTGGATGTCTTACACAGTACTATTATAATGTAAAAAGTAAGCAAGGGAGGAAATGGGAAATGGCCGCTTGTACGTGTGGTTGTCTTATACAGGTGGCCGTTAGAGCAGGTTTGGCTGTACGGGCAAAGTACATGCTCCTTGTTATATGAACTGTAGTGCATTTATAAGATTAAATATATTAATATTCTGGAACTTTGATGATGATTATGATGATGATGATGATGATATTTTTTTGTACATGTTCCTGAAGAAGCCCTATGCAGGGCGAAACGTCGAACTTGTTAAATTTGAAGTCTACTGAGTCTCAAACCCTATTTTGATTCCCTGCTACCTACAATGATGATGATGATGAGGAGGAGGATGAGGATGATGATGCTGGTTATGGTTATGGTGTTGGGGATGGCGATGTTATTTCTATTGCTGCTATTGCTGTTGGTGGTCGTGATGGTGAGAATGGTGATGACGAAGAGAACGGGGAGAAGCAAAGAGAGAAAATTAATTGAAAAATATCACACGAGAGGAGAGAGAGATAGTGACATCCCAGTGAGTGGGAGACAGGGTTGAGAGCAGAAAGAGGATACGCACGAACGCACACACGCGCGCACACACACACACACACA